TCACTAGCACCATTGATTACACAAGAGTTAATCTAGCCAGAAGCAGTCCATGGTTAACAGGTATGTATACTTCAAATGGAAAGTATGTGAACCCTGATGAAAACCAACAAAGGTGGCAGGTACAACATTACACCTTCAAACATCCGAGCCCGTTGGCAATTGACCCAACACTATCAGGCTTAAGTGTACCCACCAACCGAACTAGCTGGCACTAATCCGCTGAGCTTGCCATGACTTGTGATTTGGTAGAAACCGGAAATTTGCTGCCATATGGGCCAGCCACACAGCTTTACTAGGGAACAAGGGTGCTATGTTCATCACTCAGTCACAAACACACACATACACACAAACACACAAGCACACACAAACACACAAACACACACAAACACACAAACACACACAAACACACACACGTACACGCGCATACACACTGTGTCTTGCTCACCTCCTGGCAGAGACCTCCTGTATGTGAATGTTATTGGAATGGGGTGGCACTTGACCACCTTCAGCTTGTCGTCCGTAGCCGATTCTGCTTCAGTGCCATTCTGCTTGCCATTTAGGACATTTCCTATGTTTCCTTGGTCGGTACAGCAGCGGCATTCAATATCGCCTTGCGGTCCATAACTACCGCCCCATCCGGTGCCCTTGCGAGACTGGAAACGAGCAGATGACTCAAGCTTGTAGAACGTCGGCGGATTTTCCACACAGGCGGGCTGCCAGTCCGTTTCCGGGTGCACCTTGAATTTGTACGAGATCGAATCGCCTTCGTTGAGCAGGAAATAGTTCCGTGAGCGCGCCAGCTGGGACATTCCATCTGGCGGCGACAGCAGCTTTGGAGGCGGTGCCAGGAATGGTCCGACGGCAGGAATGGCCTTGATGTGCAGGTGCGCTGGATCTCTGTCTTCCGTCTTCTCGCCGTAGACCCACACGCTGCAGGCCTTGAGCTTGTCCGTGCACGGCAGCATCCTGATCTGCTCCGGGCTCAGCTCTTCTCCGCACGTGTAGATGCCTAGATGCAAGAGACGGAGACACACAATCATGTTCGCAGCAAAAAAGCACATGCATACACATGCACGTGCATGTACGCACACCAAACAGACAAACAGGTTCGCTGCAACAAAGCTTACAAGTACACACATGCATGCACGTACATGTACATACACTATACAGACACACAGGTTCACTTGACAAAGCCTAAAGAGTTCACAGTTTCGTGTTGTGAACGCGTACCCTTTCGGAGGGAAAGTGGCTCTGTTGTCTGTGCATGTTTGGGAGAAGAGCCCATATTGGGCGAAGCTACAACGAACATACAGGAGCAACACAGCTAGCTACTCTACCTGCCTGCGCTATGCAAGAGCGATAAAATTAAATTGTATCGCTCTTGCATTCATGCAAGTAATGCTGGGACGCCAAAAGCCGTGTACGTGTAGTGCTAGTGGTGCACGCGCAGGTACCGTAGACAGGTGATGTTGAAAAAGAGGGTGCGCTCGACATGATAGTACACTTACCAGTTACCTACATGAGCTGCGGCCACACAGCTAAAATGAATGGGCGTGCCACGGCTAAACAAAGTTCATTTCAAGATCGAGGTATTCCGCGGATGGTAATCAACCGCCATCGCAACAACCATGCATTCTTAGCCCAACATACTCGTTCTGCGTTGGTGGTGAAGTAGAAATCATCAGGAGCTAGCGGACAACAAGCATAGCAGCTCTTGTCCTGTGGAGTAAGTCAAAGCATTCGAGATGAGGCGCGACCAACTTACAACCTTCCTGGAAATTTGCGGAACAATATTTTTTAGTCCATTGACATCAGCGACGAGGCCTTCAGCTCCGCGTGAAACTCTCAGTCCAACTGTCCTGGAACGTTACTCTAGACTTCAGACTATGATCATGTGTAAGGATTTTCGTATAGCTTAGCTTATGGAGTTGTCAGTAACAAGTGACAAGTCACTAGTCAAACTGCGACAATTTCGATGACTCAGTGGAAGCAGCACTGCCGTTGTTACCTACTTGATCACATTATGTACAATTGTATATAAGGGGCCTTTATGCAAGCCTTCATCCTCGATTCTCGGGGAGTTCATTCTCTCATTCTTGGTAAAGCACTACTCTCTCACTCTCTGGGTCTCTGACTAGTCACGCTTGATCTTTCGATATAGCTTTCAATGTTTCCAATATATATTGTTTGAAGTGGAATTGGAAACCTGTTTCTCTGTCTGAACTGGCTACTCGTAACTAGCTAACTTGGATGGCGACTATATCGGTCGTCTACCTGTGTAGCCACTAGACTGATCAATCTTTGTCACAAACCAGGCCACGACATGTCCATTGAAAACAATAGTCAATACTCACCATCATGGCAGAAGTGCTTCTTGCTGTAACAGATCTTCTTCCGTTGATAGTCCACAGTGATACCTGAATATGGGCATTCGTCTTCTTCAGGTCTGTCCAAGGTGGCATTCCGGTCAACCTGCTTGGCCGGTATTTTGTAAGGTTCGCCGTCAGGTAACTTGGTCACTGTCCACGCTGAGTTGCCTACATGAACCACGGTGCAGCACTTACGCGACATGGGTAGCTGTGTACTTTCACCAGAACCACTATCTTCAGCTGACTCTGACGTTTTGCCAGGAAAATGAACAAGATAGATCTATCAAATGAAGGCACAATACAACAGAGTATATTGTAGGCAACACGAACAAGCACAAATGTGCCAACACATGTACGTATGCGCATACACATGCACACACACACAAACGGTCTCTCTCAAACACACACATATGCGCATGTGAACGCAAATACACCCATACACACATGTCCTCAAAACCACTGTAATGAAACATACACACACACACACACACACACACACCCACACACACACACACACACACACACACACACCATGTACCATGTACCATGTAAACGCCTGTCGCAAGAGTAGCACGCAAATCTGCAAATGCACTGGATGTGCACCCACAGATGTTCTCTTATAGCAACGATAGCGAACAAGATCTGAATGAGGCAGATCAAGACTTGCGCCAGATAATTGTCTAATCCACACAACTGGTGAAGCCGTGTAAATCGACCACCAATGCACACCTGGTCTACACCACACGGAGTACATCGGCATAAAACGGATAAGACAGTTACCTATGCACACCCTACACTTGCTAGGGTGACCAGTATAGACAGCACGCTGCTTTGTTTGAATTGTTGCTGTACGTTAATCATGAGCTACGAATCAAACGAAAGTGTCTCTGAGTGTGGAACCGTGCTGCCAAGGTGTGATGGAGTGGCTTTCGAAGTGTTCGTGTTGTCCGTGACCTCTGCGAGGTCGGTCCCCTTTTGGAACATGTGCTCTGTGTGCGCTGGGTCCGCACGGGCGGTGTGCGGACTGCGCAGGTTGCGACGTTCTCTTGTGCCTACCGAGCACGGAACAATACGAATAGACAGATTATCAGCTCTACAGAGAGACTGGGACGATGATAATCTGTTACTGGTAAGTGAAATGGCAATGTTCTCAGTAACCATCATCCTCCCGTTCTACCATGCTAGCCGACCCCCACCACGACTACCCGAAATAAAACTAGGCCAAACCCTACTAGAAACAGTAACACAACATCGCCACCTCGGTATCATCTTTCAGCACGACTTAAGATGGTCAGCCCACCTTGACTTTGTGCTGAAGAAAGCCGTAAAATCTTTTAATATTCTCTTTAGGCTCAAATCAACTCCACACACTAAATCACTCTCTCTCATTTACAAAACGTATATCCTGCCTATAATTGAATATGCATGCATTGCTGTCACGCCGCTCTCAATCGCAGCCCTTGACCGTCTTGAGCGAATCCAGCGCAAGGCGGCCAGAATCTGCCTCCGTCTCCCCCTCTACACTCCTCTGGATCATTCAACACTGCTCCATCGGCTCAAATGGCCGACAATGTTCTCTCGCCGCAAAGTGAAGCTCACCCTTCTTGCTCACTCCATAAAATACCAATATGCCCCACAACACATACGCTTGCTCAACACCCCCGCTCAAGTTACGGCCCAGTACAGCCTTCGACACGCATGCACTTGGCACCTCCCACCCTCCAGAACCGATCGCTGTAAAGACTCCCCACTGTACAAGTCCCTAGAATACTACAATGCCCTCCCTGCTAGCATTCGTGACGTCTCCTCCCGACCTGCTTTCAAACAAGAAATCTGCTCACTGCTGATTAACTCAATCTGCTCCTGCAGCGCTCACCCTCTCCCATACTTGTAAAGTTCAAAGTGATGTAAATCACTTTCCAACTGTTTAACCCACAATCTCACCTTCTCATCAATTTATCTCTTATTGGCGATGGTGCCATCGTGAGAATAAAGAATTCAAACCAATGTCAACATTACGTGTACTACAAACAAAGCATGCTGGTCACACATGTATCATATTTTCCGGAGTATAAGCCGTTCTTTAAACACCAGTATTTCACCAAAATACGTCGTTGTGCCTTATACTACTATGGTCAAATTAACGCAGATAAGCTAGGTAGATGTTTGCATTTCATGACCAAGAAATTGGGTGCGGCCTATACTCCGGAAAATACGGTAGTAAACGTAGTAACACTAAAAGGGTTAACCAACCTGATCAGTCTCAGCAATATGAGGTACATCAATTTCCACCTGCACTGGTCTTCGAAATTTAGCTTCATGCGATCCAAACGCCATCACCTGAGCATATCAACAGAATTGAAATGAAGACATCGGACCAAACAAAAAGATTCCGTGTCAAGATCTAAGACCATAAACACAAACAACATACTTTCTAAGTGCAACTAGTGCACCATGGCAAAGATCATTTGCTCACACTTGTGAACACAGAACATCGACGGCGTTCAACCGGAAGTTCCAGCAGCTCTTGTTGCTGCTGTTGCTGAATAACACATCAGTGCATCATCAGTGGTTTTCAATTCCTGATCAATCAAGTTTTCTTTTTAGAGGCTTCTCTGACAGCATTTACATCAAGGACTCGGCTGAAACTCGGCCTAAACTTCAATTCGGAAAAAAATATAATATACTTCACAGCAGGGTATTTTTCGGGCGGAATTTATTTTCGTACGATTGGGAACACGGCAGCAGGATGGAAGCTGGATTTGGCGCACATGATTCTGCAGGCGCTACCAAGAGCGCAAACGCCTCTGTGGCGGGTGAAAACGTCTACCTGAGCGTTCCAAGTGCCTGGCGGACAAACTAGGAGGGCAGCGACGACAAATTATAGTGAAGCAACCAAGAAAAAGGCGCTTTCCAAGCGATAGCGCAAGAAGACTTTTCACTTAGACCACGGGTGACTAAAAAAACGACATCGGTTCGGTTTTCCGCAAATATTGGCATTTTGAAAATCGCTGGGACCCCGGTTCTTGCTGTCGATACCTAATTTTACATCACACGTCCGAACTTATGCAAACAGAGACAATAAAAACAATCACACTGAAATTGTTGATGCGTGTGCTCTCTTTGCTGAATTAAGCTCAGCTCACACTTACACTATGTAGCGTAACTCCATCACCATGTTCGCTTGGTAGCGTGCCTTGGAACATCATGTGGACAGGTGGCGATATGTGCAGGGTTTCACTCACTGTCCCGGCAAGAAACTCAACTTTTCCTCCTTCCATGAAAAGCACTGCACCTTCATGGCAAATGGGTATCTGCTCCGTATCAGTCTTGGGACAAAAAAAGAGAAACCGTTCACAAATACTAGGCACACTCTTCCCTCAAACTGATAGGACAGCTCCTATCCAGCACACATAATACATGTATCCAACTACGCTGAATTCTAGGCGCTGAGAACAGGTATTAGCCACAAAGCCTAGATTCTGGAGTGCAATAATTCATAAGATGCATGTATACTTATGTAAACTTATGAATATAAATGTATAGTGTATACAGTCGTCCCTCTCTAATCCAGCACTTTATAATCCAGCACCCTCGATAAACCAGCACAATTTTCAGTAGCCAACATGTCCTCTTCATGCACATTGCAGCAGTAACTCAGATTTGTTAATCCAGCACCCTCCCTAATCCAGCAGATTTCCGTGGCACAAATGGTGCCGGATTATAGAGGGACCACTGTACCATAGTGTATCTAGCCGGGGATGTTTCAGCAGCCAACAAAATCTACATGTGAATCGCACCAGCACCAGCACAAGCAAAAAACACGAACAGAAGAGAAGAAAGTGAAAAAGGGAGAGGGAAAATCAAGGCACCACGCTCGCACCATAACTTATTACTTAAAATCAGTCTGAGCACAAGGCTGCCAGTAGCTATTCTCGTGCTGGAAGGAGAGAATGCTAGACGTCTTCAAACTCACCTCCGACACATATCGGTATTCAGGGCTCTCATCAGGAACTACATCTTCAACCTGGACATCGGCTGAGGCCAGGGGGATTTCTTCAAGGTTGTCCACTACCACCGCGAGATCAGAGTCATTCGGGCTATCACAGGACAGAGTTCGGGTGGACACACCCATTCCCATAGCGCTGCACATCACATCCGAACCAGTTCCGTTATTTTTACAACGTTTCGGCACTTGGCCATCGTCAGGTAATAACAATGAATACCGTGGAAGCCACACCAGAGCAGTATATACGCAGAGTGTAGCGCCAAAAAGGATGCGAATTATGTCACCTAGTATGCAGAAGGGGGGTGGGGGGGGGGGGGGGGAAGAGACAGAGAAAAGGCGCAACTAGCACATCACGGGGGAGAAGCAGCAGAAGGTAGCGCGCATTGTGCTCTGTGAATGACGTTACGCAGAGTGTAGCGCCACTTTATTGTTTTTGTGTTCATCTCTTTGTGCCCGGATGCATGCAGTTATGTTTAGTCAGCATCATGTGCGTCACGCACAATCAACAACATCACCTTCTGCGACGCCATGCGCAGGGGCGGCAGGTAATACTAGGGACAATCAGCAGGTGCGTGCCCCGTATGGGTTCCTGGGTCAGTGGGTGCCTCGTATGGGTTCCTGGGTCAGTGGGTGCCCGGAACCCCCCTTTTTTCCGCTCAAAATGCAGGACTTTGCTTCATTTTTTGAAATTTTCCCGGGGACGACCCCCCTTGAAGGGCACCGGCGCACACGCCTGATCAGCGACTGTGATCCACGATTCACAAGTTTTGTATGTGTTTTTGGTCCCTGCGACATGTTGATGCATGGCAAAGTACAGCGCTGCTCAATGAAATCCAGTCGCGTCACTCAAGTACGCGCCGGGCGTTGCGCAGCCCAAGACCAGCGAACACCGGGCTGGGAAGAAAGGTGCAAGGCGCAAACGTGAGTGACGCGACTGGATTTCATTGAGCAATGCGCAGTGCCTAGTACTGTAGCGGGAAATCCAGTCGATTGCCCGGGGCCCAGCGCCCTCGGCGCGTACAGAACGTTGCATGCAGACTTGCAGTGCACAGTCTAGTCATGCTGATCCGATGCGACCAGCATGCTGCAACGCATAAATGTGTGTACGCGTTCGTCCTGCTTACCCACGGCTGCTTGGCCAGCGCCCTGGGGCCGCTAGACGTGCGACTGGATTTCCATGTCCACGACAGTACATGGAAGTAAATAGATGACTTGCACAAAGATCCGAGCCGCGAGTGAGACGGGGCAAGTGCACCCTGTGCACCCAGGCTACACTGCGGGCACCCTACGTAGCTACACCGTCTGTAGACTAGTGTAGTGTGTACTTTTTTTGTCAGCATGAATGAACGGTGCACGGCCTGTACATGTACATGATCAGTACCGTCACTGTCTTCAGCAGCTCATGAGTCATGCATGTGCACTTGTAGGGTTAGTGGAAGCAGGTATTGTACTACTCCCTGAGTGGAAGCACATGACTGGATTATTATGTGAAGAGAAGCCAGGCGTCCAAACCAACCCAAAATACTCTTGCCTTATTCTTTGGTGAAATAGTTATAAAAAATTGTCTTACTAAACAACAGTGAGCATAGAAGCAACCTCGATGCACCCAATAATATGGCATCCGGGAACAGCAAGTGTTGCACGAGGATCCCAAGAACACGTCAAGTTCCATGCTACCCGCCGCCATCAAAAGAACGAAGGATAACTGTGCTAGCCTAGTTCATATTCAATGTAACGCTAACGGTACGGGATATAGGAGCCTGTTGGGAAGGCGTGGGTGAGCTGTAAAATCTTGTACGGTTCGCACAGCACAACATACATGCAGCAGTTATTGCGACGGTTAACGTCGATGGACGAGAGTCATAAAGCACAGTCCATGGGGGTTGACGTTTCTGGGCTTCCTTGAAAGGAAAGTTTTATTTCTTCTCAAAAAAGCAGAATCATGCTGATTATACCAGTCTGTTATGAAGACAAGGAAGCAGCCATGGACATTGTGCCATACTAAAGGAACGACAGGTAAAAGATAAAGCACTTCATCTGAAAACTCAAGGACTATCCATAAATACAGCAAATGATTATCCTAGCCTGGTAATGTCCAACTCCGTCATGTGAGCCATTCGGTGAGTTATCATGGGAAGCATAATGTTCGAAATGCTGAAATTTGAACAGTTGCAGTTGTGTTCGTCGCCACACAATGCCATCGCCAGTTCACATTTGAAATGTAGCCATTTTTACGCTTGTGTCCCTGTACACGGCATGGAAGGCTGAGCAGATTCAACTCTTCCATCGCTTCCTGATCTGTACAGTAGTGCGGTTGCGTTCCCGTTCTTGACACATCGGTCTCCGCTAACCAGCATCATGAGCACTCCAATGGTTCCCGCCGCTCCTTCCGTATCGTCCCAGCGCGCCCCGTCAAAATGTGAATTACTGTAGGCAACGGAGCCAGTGTATGATGAAGGCGAATGCACTGTTTGATGATGCTCCAACAAATCCTTTCTGAGACTGAGACCCAGCCGGAGCCGCATCGTCGTCATTACCAGCTAATCATGGGGAGGTATAATGTGACTTTCCACCACTCCCTGATTCAATCATAGTTTGCGAGCTTGCGCCAAACTGCTTTCTCACTAGAGCCAGGCATTGGATACATATGGCTTCAGTAAGGTTAACAATGCTATGTCTCTGGCCTAAGTCTAAGTCTAGATACAGCTACTCAGAGTCAGGGCTGATGAAGTGTTCATATCGGAACAAGTGAGACTTCAACAGTAGCTAGTACACATCAGGCCTGAGGACTTCGCAGCGTTTCTCCAGCACACTTGTTCTCTCCTTCAACTCAGATACTACTTGAAGTACTACTAAAGGCCATCTGGCTCTCACACTCAGTCCTTCCACCCCTCATTTTCGTGGTTCGGGCTTCCACTCTTGACTCGGCAGGTTCCTGGCCTCTCCGCAGTCTGTCCTCAGGAGAGGGTCGCTCTGGAGCTAGTGCAGCCGAATCGAAGGGAATCGAGTTCTTTCTCAGACGTCCACAAACTTTCGTTTTGCTTGATTTCGCTTCCACTGCGGGAAAGTTGTCACACTTCAGGACCACGACGTGCTTGTTGCAGCCTACACCAATGATACTAAAATAATATTCCCTCATTTTTTCTGCCTCCCGGCCGGCTCGGAAAGGAACGTATGGAATGGGAGCCTCAGTTCCATCTCTCGTCTGCTAGTGCATTCAGGAGCGTAGCAGCGCTTCGGCATGACGATACAAGCCGAATCAAAACAACTCTACTCTCTAGCCAAAAAATAGCTCATTGTTCGTCAGGCAAAAAGCGAAACTTCGAAAGTCACGAACTCAAAAGGTGGGGAAGTCAGAGTCAGAAGTACAGTCCAGAAGGTCCACTTGCCCCGTCTCGACCCCAGACAATCTTTGTGCAAGTCATCTATTGCACATGCGCCCTCCATGGAAGAGAACTGTACAGCAACACCTGGCTTCCAGTAACATTCGGATCTTGCAATAATACTTTTCCATAATACTGGTGCCACCTATCAGCACTCACAGGCGTCTGCTTTTCTCAAAATGACGTCGAAGTCACACGGATGGCCTTGCCAACTCATGGCTTTGAGAACGAGTCAGTGTCCATGTCGCTTTTGTCGCATGATAAGAGCAACATAATAATTGCATCGGAGCACATTATCCAAAACATTTTTTTCCATGCCCCTCTTTTCCAGTGAAGTGTGAGTGAACTCACGCTATGACTGATATTCTAGTAACTACGACTGTACATGACTGTATCACTTTCCAGCGTTCGTTTACTAGTACATGCGCGCCCTACACTTTGGGGTGGGGGGGGGGGGGTGATCTACCTAGCCCATTGCCGCTCACGGTTCACACCTCGTTCCACCGGCTTTTGATGTGAGCATCTAGGGTGTAGCGGAGGTCAGTACAGCCTGGTGTCTTCAAGTATCCTTTTCTTACGCTCCCTTCGATTGCTAGCAGGACACAGGAAAGGTGCATCCAGCACTGGGTGCGATGGTGCACGGGAAATGCATGGTGCAGGCCCCCATGCTGATCTAGTGGAGATATTAATTATTATCATCTTAGTCCCCTGTTCACATCCTAGGCATCCTAGGCTTGCAGACTGCGATCGCTGAATCCCGCGCAAAGTTCGTTCAGGAAAGAATAAAAAGAAACATTGCTCTGGGATCCCTGAATAGTTCTTACCGTGATGTGTTGGGGTGAGGGTCAAGCAGCGAGCAATCGCAGCCACAGGGAGCATCTAATAATCAGATTTTCCAGCAGGCGTATGGTCTGCTTGGGCAAGCGGACACCCACGAACCGAGAGACTCGAGCCACTGCAGTGAAGATCCGGAAAGACTTCAGCACAACGAAGCACTGCACGCAGATCAAGTAGTCCGTTACACAAACAGTTACATGCGTGTACCAGGTGTACTCAGTGTACATCTACTCTGCAGCTAGATTCGCCTTTCTGACAGACTTCTGAGTCTGTGTGTAGATCTACTGCTCAGTTTAATACTGAGATAGTGGTGGATAGTGGTTAGAGGCTAGAGCTCTCTATCTGACACACTACAACAAAAACCGCGTACAAGTCACTTTTCGTTTTCCTTGTAAGTTGTCATGGAGAACCGTGGGAAACGGCGCGAAAGTGAAAAAGTCGCTTGAAAAAAGCAACTTTCGAACCCCGATACAAGCAAGGCCACTTTTTACTTTCAAGTAGCTTTTCCACAATTTCCAGGTTTCGGAAGTAGGCACATGTAGTTGTTGAAGTATTTGTTGAAGTATCTTGAGAAAATGCCGAGGGTTGTGTTCTGGGAAGAGCTGGAAGGAAAGCTCATTGAGCTGTGGGCTGCAGAACAGAAAGCGAGCAATGGGACGATGAAAAAGCGGTCGGTGAGGGAGAAGGAGATTGCCGTGAAGTTGAATTTATTCGGACGCGAGCTGTATGGCGATAAATTTCAGAATGAGATCACAGTGCCGATTGTTCACAACAAGCTGGACAACCTACGTACGTACCAAGGCCAGGGAGCAATACCAGAAATGTCGCCGCCACACCGCCACCGGCTCTGGTGCTCCAGAGCGAAGACTCCGGCGATGCCGACATAGATCTGGAAGCTGCTTGCATGCAGAGCTTGGGGTAATTATTTCAAGACCTGGCACTCAAAAGTCACGTTTCACGCTGGCTGTTCTTGCGAGTGTGGATGCAAGTGCACTTGCAGGCACCTTGAAAGAGGACGCTACTACGTTTCACACCTGTACTGGTGTGGATAGGGCCTAGTCTAGTACTAGTAGTGGTTCAACAATGATTTTGTCATTAGTACTAGTACTAGTACAGTAGTAGTGGTTCTACAATGATTTTGTCATCGATTCGTGATCATACTCATAGTCATCTGGTCATAGGACTGCATAGCGCTAACCTGTACTACCCCCATTCAGCGCTACTGGGCCTTGCCTACGGTACTCTGCATATAAAATGCTAAAAACAGGGCCAATAGCAAGTTCTAAAACTCCAGGGTTCTGGCAACTGGGGTCCTCAAATATTTTGGAAATGATTGCCAAGACTATCAACCACAGGGTGACAGAATCGATACAGTCCCCAAAAAGAATAGTGCATCACAATAGGGGACGCAAGTTTGCTCAAATTGCGTGAAATACGCCAAATGCGTGAAATTGCAGCTGAAAGATCGCTGAAAAGAGAAGAAAAAAAGACGCATAGTGTTTCCGAGCGGGATTCGCACCAACGACCTATTGTACAAGAGGCAGGATCATGATCCAACTGACTAACAGTGCTTTTACACACCAGACAGTGCCAGAAATTACTATATATCCCATGACGTCTATAGACGTCATCCCGCGCATGGGGGGCATTTTCAATGACGTCTATAGACGTCATCAGCGTTCAATGGGCTACTAGTAATTACTAGTACTAGTATTACTACGCCTGTGGGCGGCTGCAGTCGACAGTCGACAGTCGTACTCGTAGTGTGGCAGTCGACAGTCGTAGTGCAGAACACTGAACACTGTGAGCAGTATCAAAAAAGTATTCTTTCTAGACCAAAGAGTGGTATATTAATTTTGATAACATTTAATAACGATAGAAATATTTACGATACTTCTCCAGACGTTTAGTTGTTCTGAACAACATCAAAAGTGATTCTTTATCCACTGACGATGTTGTTCAGAACAACGAAACGTCTGGAGAAGTATCGTAAATATTTCTATCGTTATTAAAATGTACAAATAACCTACGTGGAGATAATAATTTTAATATAGCTATGAATAGGATGAAGGCCGCAGACATCACGCAACTACGTTACTTGTTTGACATGTATTACTGTGTATTTTATAACAAAAATATTATTGAAAACCCGGAATCGATTTTCTCGTTCCTATCATCAGTGGGAAAAAACGGAACTAAGGATACAACCAAAGAAACTGAAGTTAAGTACTGTAAATAGAAAGGTGTTAGAAATAACATCAAGATACAAGTGCAATAAAACCACTAGAGGAAACGCAAAAAAGGTAACAAGATTACATAACCAAAGGCGAGAAGGCACTGAACGAAGTGTCAACCTACGAATACAACTTCAGTGCAACAATGTGCTCTTTCTGCTTACACAAAACAGGCTTATGAATACGTATACAAACTGCCTCTAGGACTTCCAACTGTTGGACATAACGCGCACGACACAGTACAGAAAAATGAGAGTCATCATACACACCAAGACAGTCAGGACGAGATAACAAGTGTAGATACACAGCTGACTTCTTACGATCAACACATTCATCCGCCTCATCTCGCTCCTTCCCACCCGACTCCTCCTCGTCCATCTCATCGTCCTCTTCCTCGTTCCGCTCGTCATCCTCACGATCATCATCACCACCATCATCTGCCTCGTCCTCTGTCTCCTCACCAACCGTTTCATCATCCAATTCCTCTTCCATCCTCTGATCATCCGTCTCATCATCCGTTTCAGTACAGACCACTTGTCTCCCATTTGCTAGCTGCTCGTCCCGTGAGCAGAGTTGTTCCTCCAGATCCGCTTCACTCACTGACTCATGATACTGCTCGACCCTCCTCCTGTTGGTAGTGTCCACAACGCGCGGTCCTTGGCCATTTCTGGCATAGATCTCTGTGGAGTAGTTTGCTGTTGCCCTCCGAGGTCTCTGGATTAATGTGGGCGGCGTGGCAATTCGTGTGAGAGTTGGTGATGCCAGCGCGAGTGTAGGTGGGTCCACCCCAGCCCCCGCCACAAGAAGAGCCGGTGGCGGTTCTGGTGGTGGCAAGGGCGACGGTGGTGCTGCTGGAGTTGGCAACTTGGGCAGCCTAGCTCTCCCACACGGCACCGCATTCTGCGTTGGCTCAGTCTGTACCACTGGCACAGGGGGTGGGTTCTTGCGCGGTCGGCCACGCTTCGGCCGCTTGGATTTAGCTGCATCCGGTAGAATATGCAGCGGTACATGCTGTTTGATACGTGCGGTCAGGTGTTGAAGGGTCCTACCAACGTACCGGCTACCACAATTCCGGCACTCAAATTGGTAAACCAAATGGCTCAAAAGATGGGATGGTAGGACGTCCTTCCTCACCATGAACGCACGTATCGTCGTGAATACAGGAATGAAGTGTGCTGCGAAGTATGTTTTCATTACTAGCGTCTTGACTGCGCGGCACATGGTCAGCGATGTGTTTCCTTTCCAAGGCAAACAAAGATAAATTGGGCATCGAGCAGGACCAACACTCACTTCTTTCGATTTGTCTGCTGTTTTCATTAGTTTATTGAGTACATCTTCAGGGTAGCCGTTCTTTAGAAACACAGACTTTAAGAGAGTATTGTAACTCCTCGCTGAGTTTACTTGGCGAGCAAATGCGCCGTGCCCTGTCAACTAGGTTCCGCACCAAATTCACGTTGTACTGGTAGGAGCAGTACGAATCATACACAATATACTGCCCGGTGAACGTGGGCTTTCTGTATACGGAGGTAATGATATCATCATTCGATTTCTCAACCAATACGTCAAGAAACGAGAGTTTATTGTCGTGCTCATGCTCGCATGTGTATTTTAGAGACGGATGTAAAACAAGCGCTTTTTTCGGCTGAACGGCTGAATCGAGCTCGGTGTGACCGCGGCTTTAGGCCCTGGTCACACCGAAACAAGCCACTTTGGACTTGTTATCGCTGGCGCTCAGCTGGCTTGCGTGGTCCTTGTGACGCGGTCACACCAGACCTTGAGTGCAAAGCTTGAATGGCTTGTTTTTCTTACCCGCCAAATTTTGAATATCTCGAAACACACCAATGTTTGCAAGAAACCGGAAAGCAGAACGTTCGCGATCTAAAGCTGTACTTGTTCTAGTGTTCAGTTTTGATGAAGAAGCAAAGGAAGCCCGGACTCTGAATTGCGAAGTCGTGCTCTTTTTATTTCTTTGGTGTGCATGGACGCGATGGTTCGGGTGGTGTTTCCTGATGTCGAGCTTTCTGCCCCGCCGGTTGCCGTTCTTCAACTCAGTTGCAATCCACTCTCTTCTTCGTACCCGGCTTTCTTCATGAATTCGGTCGTGAGTGTGGTGCCTTGTCTTGGCCTCAAACCACAGCTCCAACAATCTACGCAGCAGTCTAGAGGCACAGCGGCAGAAATCCATGGTCGTCGGACAAAATCCAAATCAAACTGAATACAGTGTAGTTGGATAGACAGACTCACGGTGAAAACCAAAGGCACAGGGATGGCACGGTTCCACGGACACAAGAAAGAACATCAATATCAGTTCATCATGTCAACTAGCTACATGCCAACATGGTGTGCTCCAAGCGCACTCAAATTATTTTTTGAATTTCGGCTTTCAGCCGCTTGTACAAGCTGTGGCTGAAACAAGCCGAAAAAAACGGCTGAGAGTCAGCCACGGCTGACAGTCGCTTGTATACATGTAGGACATTTTTCAGCCATTTCCATAGTGACGCTATTCAGATGATGAAGGAAGTGGTCGCACTGCTCCGTGGAATCAAAATACGTAAACGAGTTTTTTGTTTGTTTGAAGTTTTATTTTACATCGCAAACCAAACGGGCATTGATGCCCAATATTATGATGGCGATAGAATAAAAAGTGTGGCTCGATAAAGCTTCACTTGCGAAAATGAGAAAACAGTCAAAAGGAAGTATTTGTACCGGTAATTACAAGTCAAGTTCGAACAAAGTAACAATCAGGGAGAAATAGGAAGATGAGGACCTATGCCAGAGGGAGGTGCTATTCGGCCATATTAACCGTAGAAAAACACTTTCAGCAATCTTTTAAACGGTGTTGGACGACGAGCGGACGTGAGTTCCTGTGGCAGGGTGTTCCAAAGCTTCACGGCGGAAACCAATGGTCGGCTGTCGCCAGATATTCGCCGAGTTAGCGGAACAACGTATTTGCAATTGTCATTGCCACGGGTGTTACTGGGA